GATACTTAAATAAATACTGTACACAGAGGAAAGAGAAGGAGTCCCAATTATGGGACACAGGAAAGAATAAAAACCTTAGGAGCAATATCTGAACAAAGAGTTGGAATGAATCCATCATGTCCCACAAAAGAAATCAGCACAGGCCCTGACACTAACTGGGGAGAATGATGAAGCCAATAACAATGCAACACACCAGAAAATCAGGGAGCAAAAGTGCAGTTATTAATAAACATCTTCAACAATAACTTTACACTTAAGTAAGCCAAACACATCAATAAATAAAATCTAGATTGGCTTATTGCATTAACAAAAGTGCATCCAATGATCTGAGGTCTCCAGGAAACACTGGTAAAGGAACTCATGGACAAAGAGTAAAAAGGGTGAAAATCAACCTACCAAGTGGATAGAAACCAAAGAAAGTCGGCATAACTACTCTGACAGCTGATAGTAAACTTCAAACTAAAATTAGGCCATTGCATATCAACAGATAATAGATAACAGAAACATTTATTGACATTTTCCTTGGGTATAATCCTCACAGCAACAGCAAGGCTAATTTGGGGTTTCAGTTATCAACACAGGAGCACTGAGAAGAAACAGACAGATTAACAACTAATAGTTTTGTTAATTAGGAAGTAGAATTCCATTCTAGCAAGCAGCTTCCTTTTGCAACTCTCCAGATGTAGTTTTAGAACAAAATTTGCTTCAGATGTGCTATCAAAATCCATGTCACTGGAACATTTCACTGGTAAAATAATGAGTGCAATATAGATTGAAACTCATTTTTAAATATTCACATACTACATTTTATATGGATTTGGTAATCTAATTCCTTACTGATGATTGTTTTAGATATAATGCCATAATCTGATGATGCTTAAATCAATACCCTTGTTTCTTGGACATGCATCTATATTTGCATTCAAAGTCTGTATATTAAATATTATTCAGCTGTGTTTAATATGTATCACATATGTGTGTACCTCTTCTATTTTGCCTGTGATAGACAATATTGTTTCTCAGAATGTGTGTTATTGTGTTTAAAAGCAACATTTTCCCATCTGATTCATTGTAAGTCTTATATTTGATCTTAACATTTTGTGATCTTGGAGGTTATAAAATGGATATGCATTCAATAATTTGAAACTGTTATTCCACAGATCCACATTTAAAATTGATTTATGTAAAGATTTGATTGTATATATAAATAATTGAGTTTTTATTTTTGTGAATAGTAAAAGTATCAGAATCAAATATTAAATTATGATTATTTGGTTAGTTTTGTAGTATGAAGAGTTATTTTATTGAGTCTCTACTACAATATTCAACAGGACAATATTAAATGTTTTATGTTTTTAGCATACTAAATATGCAGTCATCATTCCAGAATTTTACATTTTAATTCTTTTTTAATAACTTTTTAAGAAATTTTTATTCATTTACATATCAATCACAGATCCTCCTCTCTCCCCTCCTCCCTCTCCCCCTCAACCCACCCCCCACTCCCTCCCCCAAAAAGGTAAGGCCTCCCTCCGATGGGGAGTCAGCAGAGCCTGGTACATTCAGTTGAGGCAGGTCCAAACCCCTCCCCCTGCATCAAGGCTGTACAAGGTGTCCCACCATAGGCAATGGACTCCAAAAAGCCAGCTCATGAACCAGGGATGGATCCTGATCCTACTGCCAGGGGGCTCCTTAAGCAGATCAAGCTACACAACTGGCTCGCTTATGCAGACGGTGGTTCAGTCCCATGGAGGCTCCACAGCTGTTGGGCTAAAGGTCATGAGTTCCCACTAGCTTGGTTTGGTTGTCTCTGCAAGTTTCCCCATCATGATCTTGATGCCCCTTGCTTATAGAATCCCTCTCTTCAACTGGACAATAGGTGTTCTCAATTTCCTTATTTCTTCAAACCTGGTTAAATGTAGATTCAACCAGCTGTCTTCTCTGTATGAATGCTGACATCTAGAAAATGCAGTTCTATGACTGTGGTCCAAAGGACCCTACCTATTGTCTATTCTACATGTTTGTTGTAAAAATGTCAATGAGAGGTAAGGAGGTATAGGAGAAATCTTACCTGAGCTGAGTCACAGATACATATAATTCAACAACACTTAGATCCCTATATAAGCAGATCTGTAACATATCCTTTGTAAACTGATATATAGATGTCATAGATACAAATAGAGATAGGTAGAGAGAGAGACAGACACACGCATATGCACACGAGAGAGGTTGTTAAAAAGTAGATAATCCATATTCTTCTCTGCCATAGAAACTCCTCCAATTGTTTCAAATTGTTTAATATCTGTCAATAGAAATATTGTTGGTTGTCAGTTCCTACAATCAAAGATAAGAAAGCAAAATATTTGTTAGAATCATTCAGTCTCACAAATTTAATAATTATGTAAAGGTAAGCTTCAATATCTTGAGTCCTTATTTTATATATTGTGTATACACAGCCTCTCTACAATTCCAAGTCTCCTTCCAAAAATGTCTATATTCTATCCAGTGTTGTTCTTTTAAATCTCCCCTTTTCTTGATAATTCATTTTTACCCTGTTCCATTGGGTTCACTTGCTAAACACATTCTGATCCTTTTCTCATTGCAATACATAGACCAATCTTTCAATTTCTTATTAAAACACCCAGAGAAATCTGTTCTATATTAAGGAGTGCTAGGGTAAACCTCATGTATAATATAGTAGGGTAAACCTACTAAGTTCACAGAGGCCCATTAAAAGTTTTGAGTTTAACATTTTACATAAAAACTACCATTTTACCCAGGATATTAAATACAAGTTAATGCAGTGAATAGCATTTTGACTAGTCTTTAAGAATCTCTAGAATTCTGAAATCCTTTGTCATTTTGCTACTTTCACATGAAAACAGAAAATATTTAGTCAACATAAATAATGTTCAGAAAGAACCAAATGGAAAGCAGGAAAGATAGTCAATATTAGCAAAAATATTACAGAAAAAAAAAACAAGCATTGGAACAAGTCACAAGGAACAAGACAAGGGAGATTGTTGGAAAGGAATACCAAATAGAAATCTCCAAAGAGAAATCTATCAAAATAACCTCAAGCTTGGTGTGGGGTTGCACTTTTAATCCCAGCAGTCAAGAGGAAGAGGCAAGTGGATCTCTGGGTGTTCATGGCCACCCTGTTATTCCAAGACAGTCAGGGATATTCTCTTCAAAAAAGTTCTTTAAATAAATGTTAATTACAATAAATGTAAGATATAAAACAGATATTCATTTCTGGCATAGTAATTGTTTTCATGGAATAGTCTTATGTTACATATATTAAGATTCTGGTTCTAAGACGTGTGAAAGTGAGGTCTCCTCTACCACATCTCATGGTAAAAGCAAGGTAATGGCTGAGTATTGGGCTATAGTTGGTCTTCTAAGCAGAATTTGATTTGATACATGGGTTAAAATAGTACTAAATATGACTTTCTGAATTGCCCTTATATGATCTGCATCTCGATGCTAGTACTAAGGTAAATATAGGAAAGAGGAAGGAGAATGTGTCATGGAGTCAGATAGTTGATAGTCAACTGTTAGATATCTGTTCCTTTATAATTTGTGATGATGGGCCTTTCAGAAGAAAGAGAATCACCAAACTCCCCAAACAACTGAATAATATTATAATGACAATCACTTTAAATAAAATTAAAAACCATTGTTTTATAATCACATGCACTGTCTCATACTCAGCATCAAAGAAAGAGGAACTTTTCATTCATCTCATGTTTATTCACACTATATTAGCCATACTGTATTAGTCAAATTAGTTTAGGTCTATTAGGAAACAATCTATAGCATGAGTATATATACATATGTATGGTGTCTCACAAGCACAGAAATTTTGTAATACTTTCACTAGATTTGAAAATTTAAAACAAGGATTATTAAATGAGTCTGGGATTTCAGAAAGTTAATCTGAAAAGGCTTTTACTTGTTAAGAATAGTTTCAAAATGCAAGTGTCAGTTTCATTGGGATGGTAGAAATGAAAATGTGTATTCTTTGGTGCTTGGGTGGAATATTCTGCAGCTAACTTTCAGTCTTTCTGATGTGTGCTCCACTTAATTCTGATGCTTCTCTCTTTATTTTATATCAATTGGATATAGTAGCACACTAAAATTACTCATGGGCCAATGCTAAACTGTGTCTTTAAATCTAGCAGTACCTTTTTTTTTTTTAAGTGAAATTTGGTGCAACAGAGTATGGTGCATGTATATTTAGGATGGTTGGCAGTTCCATTAAATGGAATGAAGTATATATTTTTATTTCTTCTAATTAGTTTTAGTTAGAAGTCTCTGTTGTCAGATATTGGGATAGATAGTGATGGCTGATTACTTCCTGGTGCAGTTTGATCAGAGCATTTTTTCCATACTTTTACACTATCATTAAAGTGTCTATCATTCAAGATAAGATGTATTTCTTTTAGATAACAAATAAATGGATTTTGTTTCTTGATCCATTCAGTCAGCCCACATGTTTTGATTGGAGAATTGAGGCCGTTAATAGTTAAAGTTACTATTGAAATTTGTGCGGGTTACTGACAGGAATTGTGTTGTTTATTTTCAGTGTTGTTGTTTTGTGTTCCCAGTACCTTGTGTTTTAGCAATTATGTCTTTTTCTTTTCAAAAAAGTAGATGCTTTTAAAAGTTGTAGATGATTAATAATGAGGACGTTATGAATGTTTACACTTTATATATTTCATTCAATGTCTGTAACAAGACTAGTTAATATAGCAAGATAAAGGGAAAGCCAGTTACTATTTAAAATTTATTTCAAAAATCTATTAACTTATTAAATTCATACATTTTGGCAACATACTTTGCTTTATTTCCTTCTCTATCTATAATTCTATTGGGATTCTTGATGCATCTGAAAAACAGTCAGATGTTATTTATAACCTTTACATCAATTAAATAATTCTAGCTCAGTGGCTTACAATCACAGATTATGTCTTTAATTCTCAGCACCAAACATCTTCTTTCAGTGATCAGACAATAATTCTTTATACACAGAACCTAAAAGATGTATCTCCTCATGTCAGGTACATAACTTGTAATTGCAAAGTCATAACATCTAGTGGGGACAAAACAAAAGTATATAATGGCTCCTAGTGCATAGGACACATCATCTTGAAATTAAGCTGGAACATGAAACCTAAAAGTAAGATTCAGCAAAATGTTGCATGGCCAAGCAAAAGTTGCTTAGAAAGTAAGCCAAAGCACATCGAAGCATTCCTAGACTTATGTGCGGGAATCATCCTTTTCATTCATGTCTGTTCATTTATGCATCTATGTATCTATGTGTTCATTTTGTGTGTGTCTGTATCTGGGTGTACACATACACATGTCATGGAGCATTTGTCTAGGTCAGTTGACAACTGGTGGGACAATTTGTTCTCTCCTTTAATATGTAGGCTTTGAAAATTGAACAGACATCATCAGGCTTCAAAACATAGGCCTCTACACACTGAGCCACCTTGTCTATTCAGGAATAATCATTTCCTAAAAAGCAATTTACATTCAGATTTTAAATATATTTAAATTCACTTACATGTGTATAAAGTTTGTAAATGATGTCTCATAAAAATAAGAACACCAGGAACTTTCCAAGTTTATAAGATTTCTAATTTTGTTTTCTCTCTTTCCCTCTCTCTTGTTCCATGTAGTGAGCGTGTGTGTGTGTGTGTGTGTGTGTGTGTGTGTGTGTGTGTATGTGTGTGTGTATGTGTGTGTGTGTACACGTGTGTACTAACAATGTATGGGGTGGCACTCATCAGTGCATGTACTTCTGTAGGGGAAAGCTTACTTACACTATCTTTCTCTCTCTTTTCTACTTTATATTTTTTTTAAACAAGGTTCCACACTGAACCTAAAGCTCACGGTTTATTCAAGACTAGCCTGACTGAGAACCACAGGATGCCCCTGTCTCCACCCATTCTCCATCATTACAGTGACAGGCACTATGCCAAACTTTTAGGTGGTTTTGGGGATCTGAACTCATGCCCTTGCACCACACATTAGCACAGTTTCCCAGTGGAGCCCTCTCTCTAATCCCTCTACTTTTCTTCTTTATCATGATTCACTCTTATCTTAACTTAGAAGGTGTCAACCGCAAAGCCTAATAGTTAACCAAGTTAAAAACAAGAACTGCACCAGAACTGTACAATGGAAAGCATAGCTAACCATTCCTAGGCAGTCTTCCAGCCCCTGGTTGATAGTGGAGAGTCTGAGGAAGATGCTGTCAGGTTTTCTCTCCGGAGGAGACTTATTCTGGGTCCTGGGATGCTATCAAAATAACCAGCAGAAGAGCACTCTGTGAATGGCCTCAAGCTTTGTGCATTTCCTGTAGATCTGCTGTGCTGCGTTTCCATGTGAAGCTTTGTCCTGCTCTTCTCTAAATTCTCGTTACTCCTGCAAAGATTGTAAAGGGTAAAATCTAAAGCTGCCACTTCCTCCTGAAGGTCTATTATATTACTTGCATTTTAACAATACTGCCGTGAGACTAAATGAAATTTTCATGGAAATGGCATGCTAACAGTGAAGGTGCTGCTGAGTGTACCAACTGTATGCATTTGTGGGCATGAAATTTTCCCAAAGATAGTTCATGTGATTCTAGAGGTATTCCAAATACAAAACTAGATTTTTAAAGAAGGAGGGATAGGTACAGCCATCAATGATGCACATCATGACCAATAAGACTCCTTCTATCTAGACTAAATATGTTTATAATGTTATTCATGATGTTACTGGAATAAGTAATAAAATATGTAGAGAGTAACATAAGGTCCTGGATGTTCACTTTCTTGATTAGAGGGATTTATTACATGAAAATTTATTATAACATCATAATGTTATGCTTAAACATATTCACTTGACAAGCTAAAATGAAACATCTAGGAATATGTGGATTTCACTATTATACCACTCTGTCCTGTGGACAAGATATGGCTTTTGCCCTCTTAAAAGCTTAGTGGTTGTAATTATCTGCACCAGAATTGTTGACACACAAGGCCCCTTATTTTCATATGGAGTTGGGGCCTCATGAGTCCTTTCTTCTCCATGAGAACATAGAGACAATTGATCATTGCACAAAGAGAAAGAATCTCTTTTGTGGTTGCTGTAGCTCCCTGTAAGTTCCCCATGTTACTGTGAGTAAGAGTTCACCCAAGCTCCTGTAAGTTACCCCAGTTCCACTCACTGCCCCACAAAGCTGGGATGAGTAGAATGGTCATCTGTGTGTCATCACTGCAGTCCTCATGCCTTCCAAGAAGAGGTAATACGATATTTGTAAACCGGTTAGTTGATTTTACAAATATCACCTTTTGACACGATTTGAAAAGATTTGCTTTCCCTTATGTGCATCTCATGTATTAGCTGAGTATAATTAAACATTTGGCACTGGGGAATAATTCACAACTCCAGGGAGAATGTGATGTGGGGCTGTTAATGAAAAAGAACCAAAGAAGCTTAAGACACTGTGACATCATTTCCTCAACACCAAGGCAGCACAGTGGAAATCGCCAATATAGCTTCCAAAATCTTTTAAAAAAGTTTTTAACCATTGTTTCTGATCTAGGCTTTCTTCCCCCGCCCCATGTTAGTCTTTCCCTATATCACAGTATGCCTTTATGAAGAGTATAGAAACTCGAAAGAACAGTTTGTCTCCTGGCTCCCCCTAGTTAGTGGTATGATCAAAGTTCACAACAAAGAAAATTATCTGCCAACTGCCAGAATATCCCTGGGGAAGGAGGGGTTGTGGTGCTCGTATCCTTGGTTTTAAGCTATACTAGCTTAGAGATAGGTCAACATTCAATATTTAGTTTTACGATAATGCTTACAAAAAGTTTTATGTAACTATCATTGTCTTAATTAGAAAGTCTCAAAAATACACAGGTGAATATATACCTGATTTGACTAAGTATATGAAATTATCAAGTGTAATAAAAAGCAGAAAATATCATAATCTGTAAGAGTGATCATTTAAAATTAAGTTTATGTAATAATATTATATTATTATATTATATCCCAAAATTATATTGCTCAACTAACTTTCACCTTTGTCAAAACATTCCTTATAGGAATTTCACAAATAGTTCTTTGCTAAAAATTAATTTTAGAGACAAATTAATAAACTTATTGGGCTTTCTACATATATGTGTTTTCCTTACTTGTTTAGGTAATATTGAAATGATTTTCTAATGCTTAATTCTTCATGATAGAGGTACTTATATCGTTCCAGTTCCAATGCACTTAATGCTCTGCTAACTTTCAATTTAGAGAGTGTAGATTTAAGGCTTCTAATTTTGGTTTCCATCACATTTATTGTTGAAGCTGTGTGACTCTCAAGAATTCTGAGTATGGTTTAGTTGTTGTTTGTGCCTGCAACATTAAAAGTAAAACAAAACAATGTCAAAAACAGTTGTATTCAGCTAATGCAGGGTGTTTGATGACTGTAGTTTTAAGTCAGTGAGTCAGAGAAAATACAAATATACAGTAATTAAGTGATACTAGAATCTCAAGTCTTCATCAGTATCAATTGTATTATGTCAGCACAAAATTTGACTTGCACAATTGTTTGCATGTGAGGCACTTGGACATCAAAACCAGATCTTGCCATTTGTTAGGTACATGCTCTAACACATGAGCCATATCTTCAGCCCTGAAATATGATATGGTCTGTAACTTTAAAAGAAAGAGCCACAAAACATCCAAAGGTATTACTAGAGGAAGCTCATGGACTGCAAAGAGACTGACTGGAAATTATAAAGGTAATGAAGCTTGGAGGAAGCTACCTAGCAACTGAATTTACTTGATACACAAGCTAAAAATCTGTGAAACACAGAAGAGCCAACATTTACTGTGTGCAAATACTGGTTTCTAGTTTTTACACTATCCATGTACAAATTGTTTTAAAAAAATGGCAGTGTGAATGACTTCTAATGAGATCAAACCCAGATGCCACTGGGAATCCACACTCGTAAAAGGACCATGGATGTAAGAATTCAGAAAATGCTAAGGCAATGTCACAAATTTTCTGGTGAACCTTAGGGTCCTGGTCTTAAAACATTGTCATAGTTGGCCTAAATGGGAAGCCAAGATAATGAGTTCATCTCAAAAGGATTTCTGAAAGTTCCTTTTAGAATGGCATGAGTTCCAATAGAATTCCAAGGAGATTCAAAGCTCTTAGAAGAAATGTGGTAGCTGTTTGCTCACTTGAGTGAGGGGAGACCAATATAAATTTGCACAAACACACACATACATACAAAATACATATATGTATGTAACAATAGTAGTGAAGAAGATGCTATCAACTTAAAAGGAGATCAGACGTGTTTGAGGTAGGGTTGCTGGGAGAGGAGAGAGGAATGAAAAAGAGGTGTAAAGTGATGGACTTTTATTTCACTGAAGATTGTGTAAAAATAGAGAGAGACAAAAACAATATTATAGCTAAAGTTTTCTCCAGTCCCACCCAGGCCCACAGCTGCTCAGACTCAAATAAACACACAGAAGCTTATGTTAATTACGAATTGTATGGCCATTAGCTCAGGCTTATTACTGACTAGCTCTTACACTTAAATTAACCCATAATTCTTATCTATGTTTGCCACGTGGCTTGGTACCTTTTCTCAGTTCTGCCTTGTCATCTTACTTCCTTCTGTGTCTGGCTGGTGACTCCTGATTCAGCCTTCCTCTTCCCAGAATTCTCCTTGTCTGCTTACCCTGCCTATACTTCCTGCCTGGCTACTGGCCAATCACCATTTTATTTATCAACCAATCAGTGCAACACATATCCACAGCATATAGAATGACATTCCACAGCACGATATTATTGAAAGAGGCAACAGAACCTAGCTAAAAAACAAGATGAAAAAAACAATTCAGTTGCTCAGACACAGTCTGTTTCTTAGGTAAAGGAAGAAATAGAGGGTCTAGGGCATAGCAGAGAGCCGCAAAGAATGATCTCAATATTGAGGGCTAATTTCTCATCGTGACCTCAGCCTGCACTGTCCCTTCTTATAGCCTTGCACTGTTCTGTTCGGAATGGTAGGGAGGGCAAGTGAGCAGATAGTTGAGCAGGTGAATTGCAAATGGTATCACTTCATGTGAAGTCTCTATATGGAGGGAAACTATACATGAAGGTATTATAATCTAGTAACCATGACACAGGCACTACAACCTCATATTGAATGGTAAGATGGCTTAAAATTTTTATCTTTGTGTTATGTGGGGCAGACAGATGGTGTCCGTGGAGCTCAGAAGGAGGTGCTGGATCCCCTGGAGCCAGAGTTACAGGTATTTTGAGCTACCCAAAGTGGGTTCTAGGAACTGAACTCAGGTCCTCTGGAGGATGGTTGAGCCAGCTCGTTTTGATAAGATCTTAGCATCAGGGCTGGAGAGATGGCTCAGCAGTTAAAGAGCCTTGTGGCTCTTATTGATTAAAATAATTTTAATTTTCAAGTGGGGAGACTATAAAACAGTATGACTAGAGATCTGGGTGTGTGGGTTTTAATTGTTTGATTTTCATTAGATAAGAAGATAGAATGTAGGCCAAACATCAAAAAGGTGAGAATGAAGTCAGGTGACTGGCAACACTAGGTTAGATAAAACCTCTGTTTCACAGCATTGACCCCTTGAACTCAGGGCTATATTGTAAGACATCAGGAGAAAGCCTATGCTTCCCAGTAGAGCTGCTTGTTCCAGTTAGGCTATCAGCAGCAGCATCTACAGAAGGTACTACACACAGGACAGAGCATTGCTCCAAATGATTCTTCACCCTTCCAAGTTGTAAAGCTGCCCCAACTGAAGCAGGGGGAATCAGAAACAATCTTTCATTCCTGGACTCTTCTCAAACAAGATACTGAAAAAAGAAAAAGAAAACTATGTTGTCTATGCCACTAAAGATAAAAATAAAGACAGGAGTTGGAAAGATGGCTCAGGAGTGCTGCTGCTCAAAAGCCCAAAAACTTAACCAGCTCTAGTTCCTGGTCCTCACACCTTATATACCTTTCTGCTTCCTGACATCACTTCCTGGGATTAAAGGCGTGTGTCACCATGCCTGGCATTTTCCAGTGTGGCTTTGAACTCAGAGATCCAGATGGATTTCTGCCTCTGGAATGCTAAGATTAAAAGCGTGTGTACCACCATTTTCTGGCCTCCAAATCTAGTGGCTGTTCTGTTCTCTGACCCCAGATAAGTTTATTAGGGTGTACAATATATTGGGGAACACAATATCACCACACTAATTAGGATGTGGAAAATAATGGGAATCATGACTTAAAGTACTATAGTAGAAAACAAAGAAACAAAAACCTGGAAATACTAGATAACATAACCAAATTCAGACACCTAATCTGCTTTCAGCAATTAATTCTCAGAATGAACTAACTTTGAGTAAGGTGTGATAGATCTAACCTTATATAGATTCTTTTATTACAATTACTATATTTTAATCATTTTTCTTTCAGAAATTGTTTAGACACTGCTGAATTTTTAAATGTTATCTGGCTGAAATTTTTTTTGCTTGGAGGGATTGAAATATTTATTCTAGAAATTCTGTAAAAGTTATGCGTGTGTGTGTGTGTGTGTGTGCGCGCGCGCGTGCGCGTGTGCATGTGCATGTGCATGTGTGTATCTATCTAAATGTTTTAAATTAAAGGCAAGTGAAACAGCAGGGAAATATCATTTTTAGGATGTATATTCAGCACAGTATAAATGGATAGCTTCAGTATTATATGCAGGAACAAGACCTTACTGTGAACTCCAAGATCAGTTTGACTTGAATAGGAGAAGCTGGCGTCTGAGGGTAATCTTCCCTTTCCTACCTAGCAAATTATGTAAGCTGTAAACATTGTAATGAGTTAGTCAACCACAGTGTAACAAACTGTAGACTGAATCAGCAGATCCTGTAACAAAGATATGATGGAAAATGAAGTGAAAGAATAAGAATAAGAATAAGGATGAGGAGGAGGAGGAGGAGGGGGGGAGGAGGAGGAGGAGGAGGAGGAGAAGGAGAAGGAGAAGTAATTCTGGATGAGGGAGCAAAGATTTCAATGAAGAAAAGAAAAATAACAGATTGTCCTTATAAATTCAACTGAAAATCATATGTTGAGATCAGCAAAGCACAAACTGGACGGGATGAGATGATAACCCCCATCTGCCTCAACTGCATCCTGGTTGGGAAATAGCCTGGCACTCACAGCTCCTCAAAGGTTTATACAGTATTATCACATGACTCAACAATTTTCCCAGTAAGTATTCATTCAAGAGAAAGGAAAACACGTGCATGTGTGCATTCGTGTCCACAGCAGGATTACTAACATACTGTAAGTGGAAATACCAACTAATGGATCAATAAATAAGATGCATGGTGTATAGATACAAGAGAACATTAGCAATAATAAGAAGCCAAATACAAACACCAGCTACAACAGGAATGGACCTTGGAAACATCATGTTAAGTTTAAAAAAAAAAAAGCTAATATAGAAAGGAGCTATTTATTTGAAATGTCCAGAAGAGACAAATCTGTACAGAAAACATAGCTTGATGTCTCCCCAAGAATGAGCAGTGGAAGGAGGGTTACATAATGGATGAAAAGGATGGAATTTATTTTGAGAATAACCATGATTATAAAATTATGGTTATGATAGAGAGACATAAATATACTGAAAACATTGAATTTTATAATCGAAGTGATTGCATTTCATGGACAGTGATTATGTTTCAATAAATGGTTACAAAAATACTTTTATGGTCATAACTTAGGTTCATATATTGCTTTCCTTTAAACTCTTGTGAAGTATCAAGTTACAGGAGAATCAAAGCATATAGTTTCAATACAAGAAGAAAAACTTTTCCTATGATACCAAGTCTCTCACTCTACCAAAAGTATTCATTTCACTGCTCAAAGTACTGAAAGACTAATATTTTTCCCAATTAAATGAATTCCAGTCCCCAAACTTATTAAATCTTACTGAGTATTGCTGCGTTGAAACTGGAGTCCTCCTTCCAAATTGGCAGGTTTCAAAATCTCTGTGAGAACCACACTCTCCAATTTCACATTTATGATTTATTATCTTAAAGGGTTTCCCAATTCTGTGAAAATGCAATGAATCAATGTGTGTTAACAATAACTGTTAATAGTAAATACTTATAATACTATGTTTTATCATGAAATAAAAGACATCTATAAATTATGCTCCTCTTACTTATTTGTAGCTGATTTTTCCTCAAATAATTCTAATAATAATCATATGCAAATAATATGAAGGGAATAAGTATATTTTGTTTGGTAATTACATAACAGTTATTACTGTTCACACCAGTATGTACACATAAAAAATTAAGTCATTATTATCTGTCACCAGAGGTCAGTTCAAAATGTGAAAAGGAAAAGAAAAATTTTACACAAGTATTTATCAAGAAATACACACACACACACACACACACACACACACGCAATATTTGACTATGATTTGTAAGTCACCATAGTTAGTTAAAAGTGACCGAGGGTGATGAAAACATGTGCTACATCATTGTTTAAAATGAATTTAATCAGGAACATGCTATTTTAAAAATAGTACCTTATAAAACAATAAAAATGTAATGATCAAACAGATTTTAAATTGTTTGTACACAGAGTAAACTATTTAGTTGACAAAAGAAAATAGATTCTTTAAAGACTCCTAATGGTCACATTTATAAATTATACTCTAGGGGTAAATATGATTAAATAAAAATGCATGACATTCTCAAAGAATAAGTAGTTCAGATGTAAAAAAGAAAATAGAATGAGCAGTACACACATACATACACAAATAATTTTTTTAAAAAGCTATTGATTTGGAAAAACATGGGAGTATTACTACATGGAAGGGATTTGGAGGGAGGAAAGGGAAGGGGGAAATGATGTAATAATATTTTAATTTCAAAAAAACTTTTTGAACATGAGAAAAATAAAAGTAATGAGATTTACAAATAGTATCATAATACCTCAAGGTGAAAAATAATCATATGTGGTTTCCAGGAAATAAACTTGTCTAGACCACACCACTGTTTATTAGGAACTTGTGTAACCATGGGTTTTGGAGTGTTCAAGGGATTCTGGGACTAATTCTCACCAGGTGACAAGGCAGGACTATACAAATATCTGGATCATTCTATACCTAACCAATGCCATGGCTCTCTTCAAGGAAACTACTGTTTTTTCTTAAAATATCAATATTCAGATATATGTAAATATTTAATAACATGTGTACTTTGTGCATGTATGGAAGATGCCAACAGTAAAGTGTTCGTCTCCCTCATATATTCCATACATTATAAAAGGAAAGATGCAGAAAGGAAATAAACTCAATCCAGATAATATGACATTGTGAGAAGTGATGGAGTCTATGTGTAAAGTTCTTTAATCCTGAAGACAATGAAATACAAAAGGAATTGAGGAGTGAAAAGTCATATAAGAATAAACACTTATGGCACATGAAGTAGAATGCAGTTGCCTCTCCATGCCAAAGGTAATGCTCCATTTGTTGTCAAAAGCCGTGAAGAATACACAGAATATTTTTATTATTTTGCTATTCTAAAACATCTGGTTTTGTTGTTGAAATACATATATAATATATAATGTATATATGTATATATTCAGCACTTGGAAGGCTGCAGCAGGAGGATCACAATTTGAAGCCAGGTTGGCCTAATATTGCAAAACATTGTCTTAAAAAAAAGTTTCTGTATGAGTTTCTTGAGTACATCTTAAAGTACTGCTATTTAAATGTTAACAACTAAGTGTAAAGTGAATTTTTATTTGGGTATTACTAAGATTAGAGTTAAATCACCAAAATTATCTGGAAGATTAGCATCTTACCCAGCTAGTTCTTCTACGCAGCTATTTTGTTTTTTCTGCGTCTCCAAACTAAGTTGCACGGATGGTTTTAAGTCACCAAGTCCTTTGCTTAGCTCTCTCATATCATTTTCAGACTATTAAAACATAGAATATAATTTTAAAATTCTAGAGGCTCACTCATCTTTCTTGAATTATTACTACTCATTGAGTTTTGAGGAATGTGGTTAGATGGGGCTTAACAAATGTTATAAACTTGATGCAAACAAGGAAAGAACACAGAATTGATTACTTTTCTTCAAAGCTCTCAAATTGATATATGTAGGGAAAAGGGGACCAGCCAAAGAAACCCACCCCTGCATGGAAACCAGAGCTAGTGAAAGAAACACATCCTGGATCTCAGACTTGAGCCAATAAAAGAAACATTTTATCTCTGAACACAGAACCCAAGAAACATGCCTTGACCCAGAAACCAGTGCCAAAGAAACATACTTTGTCCCTAGAATCAGAGACAGTGAAAGAAATATGAGCCAAAAGAAAATTAGAGCCAAAAGGCTAAAAAGGACCAGTGAAAGAAACACAGTTTGGCCCTGAAATCAGAGCCATCTCTCTTCCTGACCAACCAAACTAACCAATCCCTGAGCAGGAAAACTAACCAATCCCTGAGCAGAAAATCTTCTCCCTGGAGAAACTCTGCCCCCTAAGAAGCCCTATATAAACCCTTCCGCTTGTTCAGTTGTGGGCTGTGCTTTCCCACTCTGGCAGAGGCAGCCGCTCTCCTGGACTCCTCCTTTCCACATAATTCCTTTCTCAAGAGTCTTGAGTGAAGACCTTCATTTGCCAGCACAGAACAGAAGAACCTTGCTAAGATGTCCCTTAGGGGACTGAGCAGAAAGAAACCTTGCTGAGACGTCCCCTTAGGGAGATGGTTGCATTTCTGCAGGGGTTTCCCCTTTAGCAGAGTGAAGCGCAAGAAGCAACATCTTGGGCCTGAGAGAATCAGCAGAGCTCTGCTGGGAAGACCCCTTAAGGAGGGCAGAGTGAAGCTCAGCTGTAAAGGCTTTCTCTAGAAGAGCAGGATTGCTACATCCTGTGGGGAGACCATCCCCCACCATCCCCCAGCTTCAGGTATCACCTGACTTCTGGACAAGTCAGGATACCTCTCCCTCCAGAGCTGAGCTGTCCTGTTATGGCTCCACCCTCCAGATCTGTCCTATTGTGGCTCTAGGTATAGCCTGGCGTCCAGATAAGTCACAATTCCTTTCCCTCCAGAGCTGTAAAACTCGCTTACAATATGTGTGTACATTGTCTATTTTGTTAAGTTGCCAACACTTACCTGATAAAACTGTAAGATTTTGGTAATAAGTGTTAATGAAAATATTAAAGTTAGGATTTCTTATGAAGTTTACCATGACTGGGGAACACATATCTCACAAGGAAACCACAGGTGTGCTTTAACTCCTGTGTTTGGTATAAGAAAAAACATTTCTCCAGTTATCAGGTTTTTCTCTGACCTCAATAAATACTATAGAATCTAAAGTACTCTAAGTATCCTCAACCTGTGGGTCATGACTCCTCTGACAAACCTCTGTCACCAAAAATATTTACATTATGATTCATAACAGTAGCAAAATCACAGTTATGGCATAGCAACAAAGTCATCTTACAGTTGGGGGTCACTACAACATGAGGCACTGTATTAAAGAGCTATAGCGTTAGGAAGGTTGAGAACCCCTGCTTCCAGTGAAAGTGTTAATAACATAGTTCATAGGTCACCACATTTATAGGTTGATTTAATTCATGATAAGGGCTCCTTTCAGATGTCCTTACAACTTAGATATCTGCAAATGTCTAAATGTCAGTCACTCGCTTATGATTTAGTACAGTACAAATGGGAATCTGTAGAAGCCTTAAAGTCCTTGCAGGCGCAGCAGAGACACAGAGACACAGAAGTCTTGCCTCAGCCTGTCCAAGGGTCTGGAGCTACGTCTCCATGCTAAAATAAAATGTCATGTCACCGAGGCTTTTGACAAAATGTAAAACGCAACTCTTTACTGTTTGGTCATATTTGTGTAATAAAGCTAAATTTGTATCTCTTGAAAATAGGAGTTTGAGGGACACCTTAAAATGGCAAAATTTTCCCATCCAGATCTACTCCCTTTCTGTCTCTCATTGGAAAAGAACAGGCTTCTAGGAGATAACAAAACATAACAAATAAAATATAGTAAGATGAAATGAAAGCCATCATATCAAATTTAGACAAGACAAAATAACAAAAAAAAAGAGTCACAAGAAAAGGCACATGATTAAGAGACCCACTCATTTACACATTCAGGGGTCCCATGAAAGTGCTAACTGAAAGCCATAGTATATATGCAGAGGACCTGGTGAAGACCCATGCGTGAGGGAGGAACTGGGAAGAGTGGAGGGAGAGGAAACGGTATTCACATTACATTGTATGAAAAAAGGATCTGTGTTTAGTAAACAGGAAAAATAAAATTCCCCCCAAAATGCAAACTTTGTTTTCTCTCACCAATAACACATATTATTAGAACCTTAACATTACACATATAATCAAATAATAACTTAATTGAAAATCAAATTGAAAATGAGAAATACATCACAAATGCAAAGGACAATGATACTCAAACACACCATCCACGGGTAGTGTGCCATACAGGCATGACTAGATCCTGTGGTTGAGGAAGGTGCCGCCAAGTTTTCCCCATCTTCATTTCCCAATTGGTGAGTTTTTTCCACACAAGAGCACTTATGAACCAGCCTTGTACTCAGTGTATTTGATGCAGAAATGTTCTGCTCAAACTTCATGTGAAGTTCTGTATGGGACTCGTCTTGACTGTTGTTAGTCCTATAGATACCAAAGAGACAAACACTGAGTAGGAATCTTTTTCCCTGAAAAATTCTGAAAGGACTTTCAATAAAAATTCTTCCATAATAATAAATTTTGTTTTGAAGAGAATCTTAACATTGAAAACTACTTCAAATTGTACCTACTGAAATACAATTACATGTTCAGAATTCTTCCAGAAGAGCACATTCACTACGGGCCTAGGAAATGGCCCAGCAGGTAAAGTGAGTGCATCATTGTCATCGCAGCATAGGACCAGAGTTCAGATCCCCCAGGCTATGAAAGTACCAGGTGGGTGCACCTGCAACCCCAGAGCTTCAGGGGCAGACATAGGGCATTCTTAAAGCAAGCAGCTAGCAGACAAGCCAGATTAGTGAGCTCTCAGTTCAAGTGAGAGACCATCCTCAATATATAAGGAGAGAGACTGAAGAAGACGTCCAGCATCAAAGTCTCACCTCCACATGCATGACACTCATATGTACATGTCAAGATGCCCATATACAAACACACACACACACACACACACACACACACACACACACACACACACACACACACACAAATGCAGAAAACAGAGTATATATATACTTTTGGGGAAAATTCCACACTAAAAGGAAACTCAAACAATATAAGAGATAGCAACAATGTATGACTACTTAACTGGTAAGCTGGTGCTGAGAGGAATAATATAATTATTGAGATCAGATTAGAAATACTTAAATTCAAAATATAGTTATGTGATATGATGGGTATATTAACATTCATGATTTACTACCAAATGAACTACATGTAAATTTATTAAAACATCACATTGTACTTTTCAGACCTATATAATTAATAAAACAAAGCTATAAAAAGCAATGAACATTTCTACTAGTAAGGAGAGTTAGGAAGTTAAAGGAAACAAAATGACATTATCAAGCGTTTGCTCTCAGGATTTGTATATTCAGTGGGTAAAATTAAGCATTGGACATTGTTCTAGTTTGCTTTCTGTGGCTGTGAAAAAACACTGCCCCCAAAACAACTTGGAGATGAGTTTGTTTGGCTCCTGGGTTACCGTCAAGGGAGGCCAAGGCAGGAAATCAAGGCAGAAGCTTGAAGCAGAAACCGTGGAGCAATGGAGAAATTCTGCTTACTGGTTAGCTTTCCATGCCTGGCTTAGCCACCTCTTTCATGCAGTCCAGGCCTGCCTGCTCAGAGCTGGCACCACCCGCAGTGGGCTGCACTCTCCCATATTATAACCACTGGTCAAGTAAACATCCCACATATGTGCCCACAGGCCAGACCTGACAGAAGTAACTTCTCACCTGAGATTTCCTTCTCCAAGATGTGTTGGTATGCTTAGGTTTATGTTAAGTTGACAAAAGCTATGACAGACATTAAGCGATAAGAGAAACAAGGATCTGGCCGAGTTGATGATCAAAACAAAACAAACGGAACTTTGAGTACAGTTGGCCATTTCAAAAGTACCCAGGAATCAGATGGGGACCTGCCCCTTCTTGGCTTGTACACATGCTCTCCTACTAACAAAGGAATTATCTTTGTCAACATTGTGGTTTGTATTAACCCCTTTTACCATGGTATTCGTCTCTACTCTAATACAAGGCATATAAACATTCTAGAGTACAGTTTTGTCACATAAGACAAAAGATAACAGCGGAGGAAAGTTAATTCACCAGGTTTCAATAGAATTAGCAGTACTTCCCCCCTGGGGTTTCGATTGTATTCATCCCCAAACAACCTATTTTTTTTAATTACGATTTTTTTAAAATTAAAACATAATGGTCAGGCATGGTGTCACATGCCTTTAACCCTAGCACTTGGGAGGTGAAGGGAGGCTGATCGAGGACAACCTGGTCTGTATAGTGAGTTCCAGGACAGCCAGAGCTACATAGTGATACCCTGTCTCAAAACACCCCCCCCCCGGCAAATTAAGTTAAAATTTTATTACATCACTTCCCCCTTCTGTGATCCCTCCAACCTCTCCTGTGTCTACCCCTCACTCTTTCTCTAACTAATGACTTCTTTTAAATTATTGTTGTTACACATATATGTACATAAATACATAAAGATAACCCTGTGGGAAGTGCAAGAAGGAAGGCCTGAGTGAGGGAAGTCCTGAAAGAGCATGTACTGTTGAGATGGGTACAGCCATGTCAAGGACTCCAATGTCTCAGTCCCGTGTGAGTGGCAAAACCTTACCAGGGTGAGACTCAGAGGGTTGGCAAAGCTTTCTGAACTGGAAAGGGTGCCACATGTGTGCAAACACTAGCAACTGCGGCTTCCTCCTCTTCATGGACGCTGCAGCTTGAGGCTGCTTGCCTACCGAGAGTAGACAACACACCCTCCCACCCCAGGGCTGTGCATAATCAACACACTCAAGTTCAGCATCATAGCAGGAACGAGTGCCGGTCCTTCAGAGTGCGTATGCACCGTCTGGACCCCAGCTCTTCCATACATGTGTCCATGTGCTGTTCTTTCCTCATTCCCTAGCTGCCTGCCCTGTCAGAGTTCCAGATCCAGGCCAGCAGGACTTAGCACAATCTGCTGACTCCATTGGGGATGCATCTTCTTTGTATATGTTGATAGGCAATTTTATACCTATAGAGCTGCATCTAATAGGAAACTTTTAGAAATACGTGCCTGAAAATCTGAATGCTTGGGTTAACTATATGAGAATTTTAATGAGGAAAAAGCCAAACATAACTAAAAGAGGGAAGGCAATAAAATGTGCCTGGAACAACATTTTATCAGTGAGTCCATCTTCTGATGTAACTTCCCAAAAACATATTGGCCAAGTAGCTTTCACATCCCATTAGTGTGAGGATCAAATCTGACTAAAATTTATGATTTAGCAGTTTATGAATGAGCAGATTGCATCTTCTGCGACCTTCTCTTTCACTCACCTGTTTAGTTCATATAATAGGAAGTTTTTGTTTCTTAGTTCTTCCAGATAGCATCGCCTGTACTTCCCCAGTTCTCTCTGGCTGGACTCGCTCAAAGTTTTAACACTGGAGACTTCTGACCACAGCCTCTTAATTGTGTTTTCCATCTCAGTTATTATTGCAGTGTGCTTCTTACAGAGCTTCTTATTTTCCTGAACGGCTGTCTGTGCCTACCGCAGATTGAAATTTATATTTAGAGAAAATCTAATTCAAATCATCCTAGTATATTTGATTCTTTTACTTTTGACATTTCATTCTTTCAAGGTCGAAAAAAGAATGATTTCTATAACAATTTTTAAATATGTGAAAAATACGTTGCTGTTTTAAATATTTCTTACCAATGTAAGCAGTATTAAATCTGAATTGTAAAAAATACTCATGTATATGGTATTGATAACTGAACCCAGATTTTGGCACCATGCTAGGAAAAAGACTAACTCCAAGATATGCTATTCACCCTGAACCATTCCTTCCCATGGAATTAGTTAATGCAAAGAGAAATTGGTGGCTTCTTGGAGATGGAGAGTTGCCTTCTCCATAGACGTGAACCTGAGAGGCTAGCCATGCTCCAGTAGATGGTTTTACACCCATGCACATACTGGCAGCAGTGAGCTAAAACACAACACTGAAAATAACCCAAAATGGGCACATACAGTTAGTAGGGAGAGTGCTGAAAGCAGTGAGAAAAGAATTAAAGTGTAGCAATTAGGAGGGAGATTTGATTCAAACAATGTATGTGCAAAATTATCAAACAATAAAAGTGTTTGTAATGAGACATTTCATATGAACACATTTCATATGTTCCCTAAAGTATTTCTTTTTATTGCCAGAAAGGGGGTTGACATGACACTGACTTACCAAACTCGAACTCTGGGCCAGGTCTTTCTGTGTGTCCTGCAGATGTCTCTGCAGATGTTCTATTTCTGCCTTTTGTTTCTTCACTGTAGCTAATAGTGAGGTATTTTCTAGTTCTAACCTAAAATATATTCAACCATATTTTAAAATACATTTTTTCACATATCACATATTAAATGCCACATTTTTTTACTCTTTAAGTTTCAGTTGTCAGGTAAGTATCACATTTCCTTGTGACATTTTCACAGAGGTTTATTATTACACTTTGTTCTTATCTGCCATCAAAACCATCTCCTGTCCCTTCCCCCTCTTCCTGGAGTCCTCCTCCTCCTCCTCCTTGCTGGTGTTTTCATGCCTCAAATGTCCCAACTAATCCTTGTTGCTCCCCTCCCACTTCCCATTAGAACTCTTTACACCCTTTCACAGCCCCCTTTCTAATCTCTCTCTCTCTCACACACACACACCACAACATGTGATATCGTAATACACATGTGAAACAGTGACTTTATAAAAGAAATCTATTAAATGTCGATGATGTATGAATTCTATCACTTTTGAGCCTTTTTAAAAGAATGAACAAGATGTAGATACATGAAAAATTATGTACTTTCTGGTTGGTAATGTTTGGAAAATAATATCCCTCATGCATGCAGAGCCATGCTATCCTATTGAGGCACTTCCTAAACTCTGTGTTGTGAATTTCAAGGAACTTAGAGCAATGTTCAGTGTTTTCACAGTAACCACAACTTGGATGAGCCTCATGTTACTCATTTACTATATAAATATATGCTGATTTAAAGTTTACATTTGTAGGTGATCTTCCATCTTCTGTGCATGTTCTTTTTCTTTATGTAACTAAATAAAAGATAAAAAGAATGTTATTAATACTCTGGTACAAATTGATCCATCGTCTATTTACGTGCTAAAGCTTTCGTAGGAATTTGGGCGGAACCTTTGGTATGTGCACTCTACATGGCTGCTTCGATGCTACCACTACAGGTTTAATTTACTTGTTGCAACAGGATTCTCCCAGCTCACAGGGCAGGATGTAATATTTCCTCACTCTTCATAAGAGTGAGCTGATGCCGCTAAAAGACTGAAATGCATTACATTTCTATTTCAATTTTGTTTTATCAAATATGGAAGCTGACAAAAATTAAAGGCCCTATGGCCTTTGTGATTTTGCTTTACAAGGGCCACACGGTCATTTTCATTTAAAAACTCTCCATAAACATGTATGGCCAAAGCTGTGCCAGCAATGGTAAACATTGACGTAACATTGTGTATGCATGCTGGTGTGTATGTGTGTGTGTGCACAAGCATGTGCATGTGTGTGTGCATGTGTGTGTAAGGTCACGGCTGCACTGAAGACAATCTGAAGTGTTCTTTGGGATCTGTTTTGGCTTTTTTTCCCTTCATACCAATATGGAACTCCGCAAACAGGACAGGCTGGCGTGCTGGTGAACCCGAAAAAGCCATCCATTCCTGCCTGTCCAGCGCTGTGACACAAGCATGCACCCGCATGCCTGTTTTTAATGGGTTCAGGGACTGAACACAAGTCTTTCTGCTTGCCTTGTAAACATTGTGCCCACTGTGCCGACTTTCTAGCCCCTGACATGAGATGTTTTAGTTGTAATCAGATATTTTACTGAAGGGTGTCAGCAAGGCATAGAGGCAGTTTCAACATGGATGCCTGAATGTGAATATGTGATCCTTTTCCCAGTTCCAATTACTACAAGATGTTAGTTCTGAAACAAGTTAAGGTCCTATGTCTCAGTTTTTTTAGATCAGTAAAATGCAAATGATGACAATGTCTATTGTTCTCCAATATTGGGAAGGTTTACTATGCAATGTACATGCTTTTATTCTCATGTGGCATAGTAATATGTATGTATATATGATGTAACATACCTTTGATGTAACACTAATATTATTAGCACATTTTATTTCACAATAAAATTAGGCCTATTAAGAAGGCAGCACACCAGTTAAATAATTCTATCTAAGTAAACTGATCCCTTATTCATACCACTGGTTTGGGGACAAAGGATCCATTTCCAGTTCTTCATGCAACTTCCACCAATTCCACTAGCCAATGGTAAATTATACTTCCCTGAAAAACTTCATACTTCTGTTAAGTGACGATCATATATGTAAAATGTAAATGGTACCCTCCTACTATGTCATTTATTAACTGGTGTGTAGATGGCATGATCATCAGAGGTGGCTAAAGGCACTGATAGGAAGTATTGCACTTTACATTATAAACAAGTTTCTCTAGACTCTTTCCATGAGAAAATATGTGAATATCTTGTTTATTTACAAGTTTATTACACAGTTATTCTACCATCTTCCCATTTTATCTTTTATCATTTTGTTTAATCTTTTTATATATTTCAATCATATTCTTTGTCCTTCTCCAACTCTTCTCATATCCTATCCAGCTCCAACTATCCCATTCACCCCACTTCATCTCTCTCTCTCTCTCTCTCTCTCTCTCTCTCTCTCTCTCTCTCTCCCTCTCTCTGTCTCTCTTATTTTCTCTCTCTCTTTCACTCTTTCCTTCCCTCAAGGAAAAAAACACAATAAAAACAACCAAAAATGAAAATCAAAACAGATGAACAAAAAAAATAAAATCAATGAGACAAAAAAATACCAAAATAAAACAAAAAATACACACACAGACAAAAAAAATAATTCATAAAGTCCCCTTCTATTGGCCATCTTCACTTGCGCGTGAGGACTGTTTGATATACCCAGTGGCACTCCACTGGAGAAAAGTGATTTTCTTTTTCCAAGCAGGTGTCGACCATAAATAGTTTTTTGATTGTGGTGGGAGTTTGTTCCCACTCCCCCTTCTCATGCTGGGATTTTGTCTGGTTTGAACCTGAGCAGGTCTTGTGCATGCTGTCACAGTCTCTGTAAGTTCATATGTGCATAAGCTGTGTTGTGTCTGGAAACATTGTTTTGTGCCTTCTCCATGACTCATTCTTCCTCCTCTTCTGCATAGGTCCCTGAGTGTCAAGGGAGAAGTTTGATGAAGACATCTCATTTACGGCTGAAAGGTCTCACTCCCTGCTCATCACCCAGTTGGCACTCTGTTAATTACCATCCACTGCAAGAAGAAGCTTCTCTGATCCTCTCTGCCTTTTTAGGCACTACACTTCTTTTGCATATACACCTGGCCCATTATGCATTATCTGAAACTGTATTCTGTACATTAGAAACTATGTAATGTTTTCTTCCTGATTTGGCTTATTTCTCTTTGCCTAATGATAACCAGCTTCCCATGTTTTCCTGGAAATGGCAGGTCTTCATTTTTTATACCTGAATAAAATTCCTGTGGATATATTCTACTTTTACTTGTCCATTCCTCTGTTGATGGACATGTAGTCTTTGTTTATATCTTGGCAACTGGGAGTAGAACTAAGACAAAGACGGGTATGTAAGTGTTCCTGGCGAGTGCCAACTTAGATGCCTTTGGAGATATGTCCAGCACTGGTATAGCTGAGCACATTTTTCATTTGTACTTCTGTCTTCCAGAACTAATCTGGATTCTTTTCCTCATTTGGTGTTAAAATTCTGAGTTCCTTATAAATTCAATATATTACCTCCCTGTTTCTCCTAGTACATAGGTTGACCCTGTACTCTGCCCATTCACACAAATCCTATTGTCAGTTCTTGCTACCATTTTTTGGGCTATTGGAATCCTTTTTATAAAGATTTCTTAAGGGACTTTCACAGTCCAGAGTTTCACATCTGACATTATGGGCATTGGTCTGTTTAGTTGATCCATTTACAGGGAGAGGTAAATGAAACTATATTCATGCAGATGTCCACATTTCCCAGAACATTTTATTTGAAAAGACACCTCTTCTCAAAAGCATGGTCGTGGAACTTTTGTGTTAAAACAAACAAACAAGCAAACAACCCGAACAGGTTGCTGTAGTAACCGTACGGTTCTGTTTCCTGTTAGATTGTACTTGTCTACATGCTTATTTTTGTGACAGTAGCGTCTTTCTTTTGTTCCTATGTCCTCTGTTATAATTCAAAACAAGTTGTATTTATTTTCCAGCATTGGTGTTAATGCTTAGAATAACTTTGGGTGTTTTGTGTTTCCATAAGAATTTGGGGTAAACAAAGCAGATAAATGGACAGCACTCAAAAAAAAAATCATCCTGAGTGAAATATCCCAGACCTAGAGGACAAATTTGATCAGAGCTTTGCTCATCCTCATCAGAGAAGCTTCCTATTGCCAAAGATGGGAACAAATACAGGGACCCACAGTTAGACATTAATGCAGAGAGTGACAGTCCTTGAAACACACAGCCCTGAATGTGATGTCTCCATCAAATCCCTCTGCTCAAGGCTCAGGAAATCCCATGGAAGAGCTAGAGGGGATAGAGGGAACCAAGAAAATGAGGCCCTTTAAATCAACCCTATCAAATCTCATACGAACTCACATAAACTGAGGCAGTAGACACAGGGCCTGCAAGGGTCTGCCCAGGTCCACTGAGTATTTCTTATGGCTTCCAGTGTCTTCATGAGATTTCTGAGTGTGTGAACAAGTTGGTCTCTGACTCTTGCACATTCTTTTCTGCTCTTTCCTCATGTTTGCTTGTCTTTCCCAACTCTAATGTGATAGTCTGTGGCTTGTCTTATTATATTTTATTTTGTTATATTTTATTAACGTCCCTTAGAATCCTTTCTTTCTAATGAGAGACAGAATGGGAATGTATCTGGATGAGAGGGATAGTGGGGAAGATCTGGGAGAAGTAAAAGTGAGGAGAAAATACAATCAAGTTAAATTATATGAAAAAAGAATCTATTTTCAATAAAAGTAAAATATAGTGAAATTATACTGTTGATAAATCTCAACTGGTTTCCATTCCTTCATTCAGAGATCATACACGAAATACTTACTAGATGACAACACTTTTAAAAAGTAATTTTATACTAAATATCATTAATTTATAATGAAATAAAATTTGGGTTGAACCCTAAATAAAACAATCATACATCAAATAGCAATGATTTGGTCAAAAACAGTCTACACATCCAATGATCCCATCATAAGCTTGCATAGCGCACTAATGAGGTAGATTTGTATGTATATGCTAATGAAGTTTACACAGTGATGATGCTGGCGAAGGAAACATTTTTTACATCATGTATCTGTTATGAGGTGAAACATAATCAAATCAGAGGAATGTGTAAATAGCAGTGATCTGGAGTTGAAATGCTATTTTTGTTCAAGATTAAATTACCTGCTTCACGCCCGCGTCTCTTGTTTTCTGACATACTTTAAGTTCCTGTGTCTCTGTGACTTGTCTCTGGTAGTGCTCTCCTTGTATCTCAATCATCTCTTTTTTGACTCTCAGTTCTTCCACAGTCTCATAAGCACAAATTATGTTTCTTTTCTTCTCCACTTGCTCTTTTATGATTGACCTGTAGTTAAATAAGCTAATCTTAGAACTACTCTTCTCAGAAAACAAAATGTTCATTTTATGAATTGGCCCCTCATAAGTTGCTTGTAACATTTCTAAAAGTTCATATTCCCAGTTTTCATTTTTATTCTATGTTCTAAATTTTATAATTAAGCTAAACAATCTAATATCCATGAGCATGACTTTCATCTATTTTTTATCACAATTTCTACTTACTTTGTTGTTTATTATGCATTTTATGAACAACTTAAGAATCAGTTCATTTAGCCGGGCAGTGGCGGCGCACGCCTTTAATCCCAGCACTCAGGAGGCAGAGCCAGGCGGATCTCTGTGAGTTCGAGGCCAGCCTGGGCTACCAAGTGAATCCCAGGAAAGGCGCAAAGCTACACAGAGAAACCCTGTCTCGAAAAACCAAAAAAAAAAAAAAAAAAAAAAAAAAAAATCAGTTAATTTAAATAACAACTAATGGTAACCATAATAATAAAGATCAGTGCTTTTTAAGTAAAAGCACTTAAATGACTGTTTTTCTTCTTAATTGATAGACATGAATTAATAAATTGAACCACTATATAAGTATGACTAAGAAATAGAGTGATGCCTACTAGATGTAAGGTCCTGGGTTTGATACAAAGCTTCACCCAAATGCATATTAATTTTTAAATTTGTCAGTAGGTTAAAATTACCATTTGTGGTGGTTTGAACAAGAATGTTTCATAGGCTTCTATGTTTGAATAAAGTTGAACTGTTTAAGGATTAGAATGCTTATGATGTGGCCTTGTTGGAATAGGTGTGGCCTTATTGGAGGAAGTGTGTCACGGGGGTAGACTGAGATTGCAAAAGTTCATGTCAAGACCAGTCTCTCTCTCTCTCTCTCTCTCTCTCTCTCTCTCTCTCTCTCTCTCTCTCTCTCTCTCTCCCTCTGTCATCATATCAGCATGTACAGGTCTCAGATACTGCTTTAACATCTGTCTGTGTGATGTCCTGCTCCCGGCCACCATGCTCCAAGCCATGATGAAAATGGACTAAGCCTCTGAAATGGTAAGCAAGCTCCTAATTAAATGTTTCCTTTAATAGGAGTTGCCTTGGTCATGGTATCTCATCAGAGCAATAGAACAGCAATAAAGATACCATTTAATAATCTGTTCTATGAATGATCATAATTTTTCATGAGAAAAACTTGGAAATATTGATCAAAATAATTTTAAGGTTCTAAATAGTTCAACATATTTCTGCACGGGAAATATATTCATTATAGACAATTAGAAATAGAAGAAATTATTCACTTCAATGCTGTTTCTTACAGAATTATTTGTAATACATAACAAAATGCCCCATAAAATCCTAATTGTTAAATATAGATGCTTCCATGTGGTAGGCTTCCATATACACATTGCATTGGCATATGCATTCTGCTACCTATGTGTGAGACAAACTATATTAAAAGTATTAATGGTTATATAGTGGTTTTATTATTTCCAAACATGTATTCAGGAGTGTATACACACACACACACACACACACACACACACACACACACACACACACAAACAATAACCAAAGAAAAAGAGGCTGTCAACTTAAGAGTGTTGGAGGAATGGGGGAGGGGATGGCTATAGGTAGACTAGTGTAGCTGGATGGGGCCAGAGAGAGGGAAAGAAAGAGAGTGATATAATTCTGCTTCAGTTAAAAACAGATTTAAATAAAGATCTAAGGAAAAAATAACAAAATAAAATATCGTAATAACATCCCATTTCTCTTAATCAAACTTAGAAAACAGGGAAAATGGAATAAAAAACTTCACGATGTGAAGATAACTTCCAACTAAGATTGCTTTATCAAAAATGGATTTTAAAAGCCGACTGTTAATAGGATGTTTCAAAATAAATACAGAGCACCAGCTCATTATCACTAAGCTAATGTAGTGGAGACACTTAAATAAATGCTGTACACAGAGAAAAGAGGAGGAGTCTCAATTATGGGACACAGGAAAGAATAAAAACCTTAGGAGCAGTATCTGTACAAAGAGTTGAATGAATCCATCATGTCCCACAAAAGAAATCAGCACAGGCCCTGACACTAACTGGGGAGAATCATGAAGCCAATAATAATGCAACACACCAGAAAATCAGGGAGCAAAAGTGCAGTTATTAATAAACATCTTCAACAATAACTTTACACTTAAGTAAGCCAAACACACCAATAAAGAAAGCTAGATTGGCTTAGTGCATTAACAAAAGTGCATCCAATGATCTGAGGTCTCCAGGAAATACTGGTAAAGGAACTCATGGACAAAGAGTAAAAAGGGTGAAAATCAACCTACCAAGTGGATAGAAACCAAAGAAAGTCGGCACAACTACTCTGATAGCTGATAGTAAACTTCAAACTAAAATTAGGCCATTGCATATCAACAGATAATAGATAACAGAAACATTTATTGACATTTTCCTTGGGTATAATCCTCACAGCAACAGCAAGGTTAATTTGGAGTTTCAATTATCGACACAGGAGCACTGAGAAGAAACAGACAGATTAACAACTAATAGTTTTGTTAATTAGGAAGTAGAATTTCATTCTAGCAAGCAGCTTCCTTTTGCAACTCTCCAGATGTAGTTTTAGAACAAAATTTGCTTGAGATGTGCTATCAAAATCCATGTCTCTGAAACATTTTACTTTGCAAAATAACGAGTACAGTACAGATTGAAACTCATTTTTTTCCTTTTTTTCTTTTTTTAATTAAGAAATTTTCTATTCACTTTACATATCAACCACAGATTCCCACCTCTTCCCTCTTCCCACCCCTTAGCCTTCCCTCCCAACCTACCCCCGCATCCCCACATTTTCCAAATCAAGTTCTCCCATGGGGAGTCAGCAGAGCCTGGCACACTCAGCTGAAGCAGGTCCAAGCCCCTCCCTGCTGTACCAAGGCTGTGCAAGGTATCACACCATAAGCACTGGCCTCCAAAAAGCCTACCCATGCGCCAGGGAAGGATCCTGATCCCCCTGCCTGGGGGCCCTCTTAACAGTTCGAGCTAAACAACTCTCTCCCATATCCAAAGGGTCTAGTCTAGTCCTATGGGGGCTCCATAGCTATTAGTCCATAGTTTATGGGTTTCCACTAGTGTGGCTTGCCATCTCTGCACATTTTCCCATCATGATCACAACATACCCTGCCCACAGAATCCCTCCACTCTCTCATTTATTGGATTCCTGGAGCTCAGCCTGGTACCTGGCTGTGAATCTCTGTATCTGCTTCCATCATTCACTGGATAAAGGCTCTATGCTGACAGTTACAGTATTCACTAGGCTGGTCACCAGAGTAGACCAGTCCAGGTACCCTCTCGACCACTGCCAGTAGTTCAAGGTGGGGTCATCCTTGTGAATTCCTGAGAGCTTCCTCAGCACCCTGCCTCTTCCTATTCCCATGATGTCTTCATTTATCATGATATCTCTTTCCTTGCTCTCCCACTTTGTCCCTGTTCCAGCTTGAACCTCCCATTTCCTTATGTTCTCATCCCCCATTCTTTGCTTTCCATTACCCCCCCCCCACTCCCAGTTTGCTCATGTAGATCTCATCTATTTCTCCTTCCCTAGACTATCTATATGTCTCTCTTAAGGTCCCTCCTTGTTAGCTAGCTTCTCTGGAGCTGTGGGTTGTAGTCTGGTTATCCCTTGCCTTACATCTAGTATCCACTTATGAGTGAGTACACACTATGTTTGTCCTTCTGAGACTGGTTACCTCACTCAGGATAATATTTTCTAGTTCCATCCATTTGCCTGCAAATATCATGATATCATTGTTTTTTATTGCTGAGTAGTACTCCATTGTGTATATGTGCCACATTTTCTTTATCCATTCTTCAGTTGAGGGGCATCTAGGTTGTTTCCAGGTTTTTGCTATTATGAATAGTGCTGCTACGAACATAGCTGAGCATGTGTCCCTGTGGTAAAATTGAGTATTCCTTGGGTATATGCCCAAGAGTGGTATAGCTGGGTCTTGAGGAAGACTTATTCACAATTTTCTGAGAAATCACTATACTGATTCCCAGAGTGGCTGTACAAGTTTGCATTCCTACCAACAGTGAAGGAGTGTTCCCCTTGCTCCACATCCTCTCCAACATAAGCTGTCTTCAGTGTCTTTGTTCTTAGCCATTCTGACAGGTGTAAGATGGTATCTCAGAGTCATTTTGATTTTTGACAAGGAAGCCAAAACTGTACCATGGGAAAAAAAAAACAAATTGTGCTGGCATAACTGGATGTCAACATGCAGAAGATTGTAAATAGATCCATATCTGTGGCCATGCACAAAACTCAAGTCCAAGTGGATCAAAGACCTCAGCATAAATCCAGTTACACTGAACTTGACAGAAGAGAAAGTAGGAAGTACTCTTGAATGCAGTGGCATAGGAGATCACTTCCTAAATACAACACCAGTAGAACAGATACTGAGAGCAACAATTAATAAATGAGACCTCCTGAAACTGAGAAGCTTTTGTAGAGCAAAGGACACGGTCAATAAGACAAAAGACAGCCTACAGAATAGGAAAAGATCTTCACCAACCCCACATCTGACAGAGGGCTGATCTCTAGAATATATAAAGAACTCAAAAAGCTAGACATCAAAATACTGAACAATCCAATTAAAAAATGGGCTATAGAGCGTAACAGAGAATTCTCAACAGAAGAATCTCAAATGGCTGAAAGACATTTAAGAAATTGCTCAACATCCTTAGTCATCAGGGAAATGCAACTCAAATTGAAACTCATTTTTTAAATATTCACATACCATTTTATATGGGTATGGTAATCTAATTCCTTACTGATAGTTATTTCAAGTGTAGCACCATGATCATGGTCTGATGATGCTTAAATAAATACCCTTGTTTTTGGACATACATCTACAAATGCATTCAAAGCCTGTATATTAAATATTCTTCAACTGTGTATCACATATGTGTGCACCTTTCTATTTTGCCTATAATAGACAATATTGTTTCTCAGAATGTGTGTGGTTGTGTTTAAAAACAACATTTTCCTAATCCAAAAGAATTCATCCTTAAAATGAAATTGTTAGATCAAAACAGTGATGCTTTGGAATTGTGTGAATCATTGCTACTATATTATACACACTGGTTCCCAAGTTTGTTTTGCCTCACATTTTTGACAACCTTGGTTATTATCTTTTAAACAAAATGCATCAATATTAATGGGACACAATGGTACCTAATTTTGCTTTTTTTTTTTTTAGGTTTTTTTGTTTGTTTGATATCTGCCCGTTCAAGATTATCCCTAATAAAACCATGTCAGGCATGGAAATTATCAAGAAGTAGAATTCATTCAACAGGCAGGAACAATACCTAGTTTTAAATCTTCCTAGTTTACCCATCATGTTCTTCTGCCTCCTCAACGTGGGGTTGCTGCTTTCTTGCTTCCTCATACTTTCCTTGAAGAATCAATCTTCTTTTTGCAACGGCAGCAGCAGCGGATGCAGCAGAGGGAGCATCAGAAGGATCCGGTACTGCATCAGCAATAGCAGCAGGAGCTACCGCAAGAGTACCTGGAGGAGCATCAGCAGCAATAGCAGCAGCAGCTGCAGCAGCGGCGGCGGCGGTGGCGACAGCAGGAGAAGCAGCAGCATGAGTAGCAACCGCAGCAGCAGCAGCAGCGGCAGCGGCAACAGAAGAAGGGGCTGCAGCTGACGCGGTAATAGGAGGAGGAACACAAAGAGCTATAGCAGTGACAACAGAAGCCGTGTGGGCAGCTGCTGCAGCAGAACCAATAGCAGCAGCAGCAGCAGCTACAGCAGCAGTAGAAGCGACAGTGGGGACTTCAGAACCAGCTGCGGCCGTGACAGCAGAAGCAACCACTGCAGCAACAGAAGCAGAGGCAGTAGTTCGAGACGCAGCATCCACGAAAGCCACGGCATCAATGGCAGTGGCAGAGGCGGCGGCAGCAGCAGCAGCAGCAGCAGCAGGAAGAGCAGCAGCAGCCGCAGCAGCAACAGGAACAGCAGGACTGTCGGGTGCAGCACCAGGCGCCACAGCAGCGAGAGCATTAACAGTTGCAGAAGCAGCAGCAGCAGGAGCAGCAGCAGCTGTTACTGCAGCTACAGCAGCAGAGGCAGCAGCGGCTGCAGCGGCGGGAGTAGCCGCAGCAACGATAGCAGCGACAACAGAAGCCTCGGAGACACCAGGAGCGGCAGACGATGCTGCACAACCGTAGGAGTGTGTTGCATCTTCCGGTTCATTGCTTGCACGTTTCTTCCTGTTTGCTGCAACCTTTAATGAGAGTTGAACATTAAAGATAACTGTTTTCATAATAAAGATCTATTTTCCCCAATAGTCTTTATGAGTTGACTGTTGAAAATACTGAAGAACTTATTTCATAAAATCTTTATGTGCTTAGTTTGTCATAAGAGGTCATGGAAAGTTTAGAGAATAATGTTTCATTTATTTCTAAGTAAAAAGGTATGCCTTCTTTTATTTTTTTTAAATTTTAAATTGGCACTCCTCATTTTGAGCTTTTTCTTCCATGTATGCTTTGCTAACTCATACTTCTAACTCCTATACAACTGTTATAAAAGAAACGCTCTGTTAGTGATATGTAACATTAAAAGCCGTCTTTAGAATTGTAACTTTTGGTTCTTCTACAACAAAGGTGTTGGGGGGGGGGGGTCTCCTCTATCTGAAACAAGGTATTTTCTCACATAGTCTTTTATGTTCCCTCCTTTTTCACTGGGATTTGGGGTAACCAAAAATCTAAAGGGGCTCACAAAAATGAAGTCAGGTTTGCTCAAAGCAAGGGAGAGAGTGGAACTTCAGAGTTCTAAGTATGATATCTTGAAATAATTGGAAAATGTAAGACAAATTTCATATTGATCCACCATAAAATTTGACAAATGCAAGAAATTTTTATCAACATGATAGAGTCAAAATCCAATTATAAAATTCAGCAAAGTATCTACTTTAATTAAACAGTATAGCTGACAAAGTGGTTTGATGTCTTCGAGGAAGATGGGGAGCCTTAACATAGTTTTACTTTTAAGACTGCCTCTGGAACCCACAGCCAAACATTAGGCAGAGCTCAGGGAATCCTGCAGAAGAGGGGGAGAAAGGACTGTAGCAGCCAGAAGGGTCAAGGACACCACAGGACCCACAGTATCAAGTCACCTGAGCTCATAGGGGCTCACAGAGACTGACTCAACCACCAGGGAGCCCGCACAGGACTCATGTAGGCACTGTTTATGCTACAATTATATAGTTTGATGATCTTTTGGAACCCCTAATAGCAGGGGCTGTCTCTGACTCTGGTACTGGCATTTAGGACTCATTTCCTCACACCGGATCACCTTGCCCAGCCTTAACACATGGGGAGGTGCTTTGTCTTGCTGCAACTTCATATGCCACGTTTTGCTGATATCAATGGGAGACCTGCCCTATCCTGAACAGAAATGGAGGAGGAGTGCATTGGGGGTAGGAACAGAGGGAGAGTTGGGGAGAGGGGCTGGGAGGAGGGAAGGGAAACCACAGCCAGGATGTAAAGTTAATTAATTCAAAGAAAGAATGCCTCTGTATATTTTTTACTGTCTTTGATTCAGTATACCTCACAATTCAGCCTTCTACTTATTAGTATATGCTGATACAAAGCAAAAAAAGGTGAATTAAATCTACTTGATAACAATAACCTGTTACCTACCTTAAAGTTTGTTGTTTCTACCCTAACAATAATTATAGCTCCTCTAGAAGGAAACATTTATCATTTAAAGGATATTTAAAATGAAGTATGAAATTATTACCTATCTATCCCATAGAGAAGTTTAAAAACATAGTGCTATTTGCTCTATGCTACAGTATTTTTTAAAAGAAAACATTGCAACACTAGTCTTTTAAATTTAAGTATTTACATACCAATGGCTGGTTGTTTTTGCTGCCATCACACATATCGTGATCATCTTCTAATACCACTGTTCATAATAAATAAATGTACTTAGTTATACAGCAAACACTGAAGAAAACAACACAGATTTAATATTAGCCAAAATTTTTTAAATCTGCAATAATAAATACTATTTTTTCTAAAATCTGCAATAATAGATACTATTTTTTTCTATTTTCCCATTTGAGAATTTCAATTCAGCTTATTTATCTTTAGCTGAAAACTTTATTTCAGGAGATAATTCCCATTATCTAAAACTTCAATACAACCCTTTGACAGACACCAAATATTTCTTAGCTTTAAGGCAACAGAATTGGAAGATTTAGTCACAATTGTACCCACCATATCTATCTATCTATCTATCTATCTATCTATCTATCTATCTATCTATCTGCCAATATTTTTTAAATTCAAAATTAAAGTTAAATGTAAAAAAAAACATACACATAGGAATTCACCGTGTATACCTTTTAATACTTCAAAACAGAAAATACAAACAGCCTGCTAAGCATTACAGTTGTTTTCCTGACTTCATATGTGTACACAGCTTTCATTCATTTCTTCACCGTGGTGCTAACTTTCCTTGCTCCTTTTAAGGTTCAGTTGACTTTGAGAAGTTTTCCTTCATCCTTTTTTTCCTGAAGGCTAGGCGTCTCTTTTGAATTAAATTAATGCTTTATATGATTTTTTTTCTACTTTGGCTTTACCAGCAAAACTTTATTTGCTTTTCAAAATTATTCATTTTACTCCTGGATCAATTGGTATGTTAAAATTTTGCAATCATCTTTGTTGCTGGAGGGCTTCTCTCCAGGTTCCACCAAGCCCTGCAGTCCCACAATCCACGTATAAAATAAACACTCAGACGCTTATATTACTTATAAACTGTATGGCCGTAACAGGCTTCTTGCTAACTGTTCTTATATCTTAAATTAACCCATTTCTATAAATCTATACCTTGCCACGTGGCTGGTAGCTTACCAGCATCTTTACATGATGCTTGTCCTGGCGGTGGCCACAGTGTCTCTCCCTCCTTCTTCCTGTTTCCCAATTCTCCTCTCTCCTTGTCCCGCCTATACTTCCTGTCTGGTCACTGGCCATCAGTATTTTATTTATATAGAGTGATATCCACAGCACATCTTAGTATAAATAGTCACTATTCTTTCAGTAAATATCAAGGTCCTGCTACATGTGAGGTGCTTAAGATTATTAAAAGCTATTGGTGAAAGTTTTCAGGCATGATATTCCAAGAGGGAAAGATGGCGCCGAGACTCGTAGAGCGGCTTAGGCAGATGGAAAGTGTGAAACATGAGCAGCAACAGAAAAAGAATATTAAGTGAGGTATAACTTGAAAACCCAAGAAAGGACTATTAATCCATGCAAGAGGGAAACAGGAAAGGTGAGAAAAAAAGTTGTAATTAAGTCACATTAATGAATGAATAATTTATTACGTCTGACTTTGAGGTTCTAATCCAGGAGACAGTTTATAATGATGAATTACATACACTGTGGATATGAAAACTGAGATAGATAGATAGATAGATAGATAGATAGATAGATAGATAGATAGATAGATAGATGTATATATATTACATAATGTGTAATTTGTTGTCACAGACTTCATTCCATGAGCTCTTAAAAACACTGGATAAATTGGCTCAAATATCAAACCAAATGTAAGATGTAGTTAGTTACTGGACTAGTGTTCATGGTACTAGAAGATTCTCTGCATGCTACTGAAGGAGAAAGGAAAACACCACCCCTTAGGCTACAATGGTGACATGCATGGAAGATGTGTTAGTCCAATAGTGGCACCAAGCTTGTGGGAGTAACAACCAATATCTGACTGGATTTAAGATCCACTCTGTGGTCTGGAACTTATCCCTGATACCTCTCTGGTCGTCAAAAACCTGAAGTTAGATAGGCTGGAGACAGAACCTAAGGGAAAACCAAATACAAAAGGGATGTAGACAAAGTGACTCCTAGCAGTATTCTGCTACACTCATAGATCTGTTCTTATTCAGCCATCATCAGAAAAACTTCCTCCTGCAGTAGATGGGAACAAATATAGAGACCATAGCTAGATATTATGCAGAGAATGAGAGACCTCTGAACACCCATGGAGGTCTCCATGAACTCCCTCCCCTCAAAATTCAGGGAACCCTGTGGAATAGGAGGTAGAAAGAATGTAGGAGCCAGAGAGGATGGAGGACACCAAGGAAACAAGTCCTTCTAAAAACAGAAGGACTGATACACATGTGAACTCACAGAGACTCTGGCAGCTTGCATAGGGCCTGAACAGGTCTGCACTAGATGGAGTACCAGCACTGAGAGAAATGAACGTAAGCCACCATTTCTAACCCAGAGGCTATCTCCAATTGACAACCACTCGCAAGTGAAAATAGTTTTTCCAGTGGATTCTCACTGGACAGACAAACCTTTTTTAAAGCAAGGACCTCTTCCCAGCAGTAGATGGCCAACACATTTTGCTGTTGTCTCTGAATGATTTGTCTGGCTTTTCTTTTTACTTTTAACTTACTTATTTTTACTCTACAAGTCTTGTTTGTGTATCATAGCTTCCAATGCTTTTTTTAGGGAATTCTAGTATGTGCCATGCGTGAGTCTCTGTCTTCATCTGCTCCTGTGCTGCAGCTGCGGCTCTCGTTTGTTTTGTCCTGTTCAGGTTTGTTTGGTTTTATATTATTTTATTATTTTTTTCATTTTCTATATTTTACAAATGCCTCTGTTTTCTAAAGACAGAGAGCAAGGATGTGGATTTGGGTAGGTAGAGAGGATCCGGGAATAGTTGGGGTAAGGGCAATCCTAATCAGAATATATTATTGACAAATCTATTTTCAATAAAACAGAAACTAAAGAATATGAAGCGATCTTGCTGTACTGATCAAGTTGTCTTCAAACACCTGGGATCCTGGAGAGCTCTGTCCTCTGGATAATTTTTGCACAGAAATTAAAATGTATGAGATGGGGACATTCTTTTCTATGATCATTTTTAAAGTGTGGAAAATACTACACTTTCAAAATTAACCCCATTGTATCTCTTAGCAAATATAGGGATTTGGGCTGGAATGTTAGGATGCAGACACATAAAGGTAGAAATACCTAAAGAAGCGTTCATTTATAAAACATTTTCATAAGAGTCTAAATACTTTTTAAGCATTGGTAAAACTGTGATATTTTCATTAATTAGGACAAATCCTTCTGTTATATTGGGGGAAAATGAAGTAAAGACGAGAACACTGCACCCATTTCAAGCATTTTAAAATGCTTCTTTCCAAAATAATTTTGGGCAGTTACCTGATTTGAGTGTTTGTATTTCTTTTCTTTGTAATTTTGTATTTGCATAGGAGTCTTTTATTGCAATGGAACCCTGTATGGGATTGAAACAAAACTCTCATTAATTAATTTATATTCCATAAAATATGTTGCAAATTTTATTGGGTAAATAAAAATACTTACCTTTTGTGGAAGATATTTCTTGTGAGATGCTAAAAAGAATCAAAGAAAATCTAGTGATTTAGATGTAAAAACAACTATTCCAAAAGTCATTCTTTGTCATTTATATGCAAATGGCTACTTTAGATTTGGATTTGGGAGAATAATGTTCCTTGTTTGCTTTTGAGAATATGGTTTTAATAAACTGACAATTCTGATAAATTTAACTGAAATAGAAAAGGAAGATATACCAACTTGAACTGCTGATTAATAGAAACATGCTTTGTATAGTATCGGATCATGATCCTGGGAATTGACTTGATTGTCAATGAATAAACCAACAAAAGGCAAATGTGTATTTCTTTAATGGAACCCTTCACAGTCAATTATTCCATTAAATTATAAAAATGTATCAAGTCACATTCTTTGGTCTGTAATTTAGGAATTGAAAACTGATGTTAATATGTTAAAAGAAAAATGTAATTTGCTATACACAAAAGTTTTTATGGATGAATAAGCTTGAATGTACAATTGTAAAAGATAAGTTTATAAGATATTCACATTTGTGTGTGATAATTGTATGACTACATGTTTCTATGTAGTTTGGACATATGTCTTGTTTCTGAGTAACTTGTGTGAGGAGTATAAACTATTGCTGGGGATGTCTTTCTGTATGCTGTGAATGTGTATTGGTCTGATTTGGTTGATAAATAAAATGCTGATTGGCCAGTAGCCAGACAGGAAGTATAGTATAGGCGGGGTAAGCAGAGAGGAGAATTCTGGGAAGAGGAAGGCTGAGTCAGGAGTCGCCAGCCAGACACAGAGGAAGCAAGATGTGAAGGCAGAACTGAGAAAAGGTACCAAGCCATGTGGCTAAACATAAATAAGAATTATGGGTTAGTTTAAATGTAAGAGCTAGTCAGTGGTAGTCCTGAGCTAATGGTGGAACAGTTTTAATTAATATAAGCCTCTGTGTGTTTACTTGGGTCCAAGCGGCTGCAGGACTGGTGGTTGAGAGAGATTTGTCCTGACCATGGGCCAGGTGGGACACAGGAAAACTTCAGCTACAAACTATGAGTAACATTATCCTTTAGTATTGGTACATGGTTATCAAAAAGAAACACAAGAGAGATATTCAGGCCCGGCGACAGCCGGCAGAGACATTCAGTCCCAGCGGCGGCCCACAGAGGTAGACAGGCCCGGCGGCAGAGACAAGCAGACCAGACGCAGGTAGGCCTGCGGCGGCGGCCCGCGGAGGTAGACGGGCCCAGCAGCAGCCCGCTGAGGTAGACGGGCCCAGCGGCGGC